TCACTCAGACACACACAGACACACACTCACACAGACACACACTCACAGACACTCACTCACTCACAGACACTCACACACAGACACTCACTCACTCAGACACACACAGACACACACTCACACAGACACACACTCACAGACACTCACTCACTCACTCACTCACTCACTCACTCACTCACTCACTCACTCACTCACTCACTCACTCACTCACTCACTCACTCACTCACTCACTCACTCACTCACTCACTCACTCACTCACTCACTCACTCACTCACTCACTCACTCACTCACTCACTCACTCACTCACTCACTCACTCACTCACTCACTCACTCACTCACTCACTCACTCACTCACTCACTCACTCACTCACTCACTCACTCACTCACTCACTCACTCACTCACTCACTCACTCACTCACTCACTCACTCACTCACTCACTCACTCACTCACTCACTCACTCACTCACTCACTCACTCACTCACTCACTCACTCACTCACTCACTCACTCACTCACTCACTCACTCACTCACTCACTCACTCACTCACTCACTCACTCACTCACTCACTCACTCACTCACTCACTCACTCACTCACTCACTCACTCACTCACTCACTCACTCACTCACTCACTCACTCACTCACTCACTCACTCACTCACTCACTCACTCACTCACTCACTCACTCACTCACTCACTCACTCACTCACTCACTCACTCACTCACTCACTCACTCACTCACTCACTCACTCACTCACTCACTCACTCACTCACTCACTCACTCACTCACTCACTCACTCACAGACACTCTCTCACTCACACACAGACACTCACTCACTCAGACACACACAGACACACACTCACACTCACACAGACACACACTCACACAGGCTCAGCTTCAGCCAGTCTCTGAGACTCACACACACACTCTCTCTCTCTCACACACACACACACACACACACTCTCACAGACACACACACACACACACACACACACACACACACAGAGAGCAGCTCCACTCGTTACCCATGATCCACCGCCGCCTCCCTGAGCGCCTCGCGCGCTGCCTGAGTGGCCTTCCTCCACCCGGAGATGATGATCTGAGGATGGATCTTCTTAGCGATCAGCAGCTCTGCTTCCTGCGGCACAAGCGTCACACATTAGACACGGCTCACGACTCACTCAGACACTGCGAGGAGGAAGAGCTCGTACCCGCAGCAGCTCCGCCGCCAGCACCGTCACAGACGTCGTCCCGTCGCCCACCTCGTCATCCTGCACCTTAGACATGTCTGCAGACAAGAGAGGCTCGTGAAGGACTCACACTTTTGATGCCAAACAAGTCTCTTCTGCTCTTTGATTAAAAATACAGTAAAAACAGTGAAATTGTGAAATATTATTCAGAAATCATTCTAATCCGTGTTGCCAAATGTACAATAATTATCATATTTGTACAATAACTCTGACCTCTGTGCAATGTACGATCAATAATGAAAAAAAAATCCCATAATGTACGGTTTTCAGAATTTTGTGACGCTTCAAATGATGGTCGTTGTTAAGGCCATTAACTCTGGGCCTCTTCTGTCACTTTTTTTATATTTTGACATTTGAAAACTCATAGCTTCATCAGAATGAGATGACACTTGGTGACTTTTGTTGCATTAGCTATGTGAACACACCAAAAAAATCATGGACATGATTCGGATATGTTAAAGGGTCAAAAAAAGAAAAGTCACACTTGGCTCCTTCCCAGTCAAAAATGACCGAAATAGGAAATAAATGGGAAATACGAAAAAATACAACTCAGATAATCTTTTGGTGGTACAAACTACAAATCAGCCACTGTGCAGAAAAGAAGTGCACAGCAATCAATGGGTGACCCTCTAAAATATAAAGAGTGAAAAATAGACACCCATGCACACACAATGTTTGATTGTAATGATAATGCAAAACCTGATATTTACCTAACCAAAAATATCTAAACCTTGACAAAGTAGTCTTTTAGAATTTCTAAATATATATCTAAAAGCAAAACCTAATAAAATGAAGGAAGTATGACTAAAAAACAATGGGAATCCATTTATTGAAAAATAATAATTAAATAAAAATATATTAATTATTGTGGGGAAAGATAGCTAATTAAACTTGTATAAACATTGCATAATATCTTAAAATCCCCTCAAAATTCAAAATAATAAAAAAAATAATAATTGAACAAAAATGTATTACATTTACATTTAGCAGACGCTTTTATCCAAAGTGACTTACAAATGAGGACAATAGAAGCAGTCAAAACTAACAAAAACAATTACTAAATAGATTTTCCTGAAAAAAAAAAAAAAGTTACATTTCACGGCTTCAGTCACTTTTGACCGCGAAGGAGCCAAGTGTGACTCCCAAACAACGAAGACCAGAGGGGTAAAAATGCTTGAATTTCGAATATTCGTCGAATTTAAAATAAAAATCCACATTCGAATGTAAAAACGTTGCGTTTGAATTTTAGGTGTTTGTCAGGCTGCCTCATCAGCGGCGCACGAGATGCAATGACGATGTAAGTGTCATTGCATTTGAATGTTTTTCTTATTCTATCCAGCTGAAGCCACTAGATGCGGCGCTGCTGCGTTGTTCATTCAAAATATAGTCGGAAAAAGAGAACATCAATGCGGAGAAGATCTTGTTTACGGTGAAACCGAAACCAAGCCGTTCACACAGAACACATATTTATTGCATTTTCTAGAGGGACATCTATCACCGCTGCACTCGCGTCTCGCACAAGAGAGAGACGCATGTTTAGAAAGCCATGTAAAGCTCAACTTTTACAAAAACATGTCTCGAGACTTTATGGCGGCTTTTCCCCATTCCACTGCATCTCGTGTTTTTAAATGAAAACATACTTTGTGATTGGTTTTCGGTGCTTTGTATTAAACGATACATACATGCACGATGCTGTTTTGTTTCTAATTGTTTAAGCAACTTAATTAAATATGATTTATAAACACTATTTTTAACATTATGTACTTTTTTTTTAAAGGGAGTCGTGTTATTTTATTGCTTTGAATAAACGTGCATCAGTGATATTTTGCTCGATGCGCCCTCTTGTGGCCTCAGGAGAGAAGACAAACGCTTTTTTCCCCTTTAACTGAAATCATGCCTTTTAAATTGGTTTTAAAATGGTTTATTCGCAAATGTCTTACGCAATGTTACAATTTTGCACACAAGTTAGATTCGCAGCTAGTGAAGGCATTTATAATGCTCATATAATTTATACGAGCGTCTCCGCAGTCATGTGACAGGAACTGACCCACGAGCACTTTGGCGGCGGGGTTGTCGACACCGATGGCCTTCAGGATGGTGGCTCCGTCGTTGGTGACGGTCACGCTGCTGTCCCGGCCGCCGCCCAGCAGGATCTTGTCCTGTGAGGTCAGAGGTCAGAGGTCAGTGATCAGGGTCACTGTGATGAGCGTGTGTGTGCGTGCGAGTCGTACCATGCCCTTGGGCCCCAGAGTGCTCTTCACCAGATCCCCGATGGCGATGGCGCCGATGAAGGACGACTGCGACACACAGAGACACACAGTCAGACGGATGAGGGGTCATGAAGCAGCTCTAGAGAGCGAGCATCACTCACCAGACGCGCCGTCTCGGCCTTCTCCTCATCCGCACCGCGACTGAAGATGCTGACGGGGGCCATCGATAGAGACGCCTGCAGCAGCAGCAAAGCAGATAGTCTCAATGACCTATTCTATTTAACATGCATTACACATGTATGATTGGACTGATATGATAAACATGAATCCGTGTCTACAGAAAACAGTACGAACTTTAATAATAGCTGATAACTCAGGAAACTGTATTATGAAGCAACGGAGCATTAGCTTGTAGATTTGGCATTTATCATTACATTGTTCATCTCTGGAGAAATATATGAGAAAGCTTACAAAACAGTAGGGCAATATTAATAATAAAAAGTTACACTTTATTATTAAAAGAGTTACATTCATATTATTTTCACACATTGTTCATCTCTGGAGAAATATATGAGAAAGCTTACAAAACAGTAGGGCAATATTAATAATAAAAGTTACACTTTATTATTAAAAGAGTTACATTGATATTATTTTCACATTAACACTAGACAAAATCACATTACATTCATAATATCCTAATTTGATGTTGTAATTTGAATAAGCCTGCAATAATAAATGAATATTGTTGTTATTCTAATAAAACACACCATATTTCGACTCCATTAACTATCAATGTAACATCCAGAGCACATTAACGTTACCTGAATAATTAGATCATCTCACTAATCCTACCATCACGTGAATACTTAGCTGTGTCATGATATACTAATTAAACATCATATTCAAAGCACACTACCATCCTCTGCACAGCTCTCCGTGTAGTAATAATAATGAGTTTATAATGTTAATGACTCCGGCCTCCTCAGAACACACTAGAAGCTCATTGTTGAGGCGCACAAAGCCTGGCTCTCAGCCGGAACACAGCGCGGATCTCGCTGCAGAGTCACACACACACACACACACGCGTCTCTAACTCATTACACGCTCATTAAAACACGATTCAAACACTTCTCCGCTCACCATGATGATCACACGATGCGCTGAAGAGACGAGCACGCTGCCGGAAGAACGAGCTAGAGAGAGAAGCGCGACAGACCGACCGCTTCCTGTGACGCGTTTCCGCTCTTAACACTCTTCAACTTAAGAGTCCCTGCAGTGCGCGATAAACACGAATTAAACTAGCAATACAAAGTAATATCCCGCTAAGCTAATAATAACGAAATAAGCCTACTCATGATATTAGTTTGTTAAATTGCGGAACTTTACACAAATGCAGCACACTTAGGTGTCCCGTGACTTTTATCTACGCATTAGACGCACCGTCTTTTTTAATGCAAGTTAAGTTAGCAACGATTAGCTTTGTTTGAAAAACTAGCATCTGACATATAAAGATAAAGAAGCTAGTTTAGTAAGCTAGAAACCTAAGCTTGATTGGTTCTCAACTGTATCCAACAATTAAAACCAAACATCAGTGTCATCATTTGGACCCAAACTATTTTTATAGTAGCTAAATATTTACCATATTTGAATAATTTAAACATTTTCATTCCATTTTTTCAATTTGCACATATTAAGCTCAACCATTCAATCCTGTTGCCTATATTTTATATATATATATATAGAGTGAAAGTTTGAAAAATATATATAATAAAAAATAAATATAAATCCAATTCATGGGGAAATGTAAGTAATCAGTAACCAACATTTGGTCCCAAACTAACCTGAACTATAATATTTGGTTGAGTTTTTTCAGTGATTCTTGCTAAAAAAATAATTTAAAAAAAAATCATACAAACCCATGTTTCATAACGTGTTGCAATCCTCGTAGCTCATATAATATTGACTTTGAGGTTAATGATCAACATTCTGTGAAGCTGAAGCACCTGCTTTCACTGACCACTAAACATCATCTGCAGTGGCTCTGTTTTGTAGCTTAGTTTTTCACGGCAGCAGATATTAAATGTCATGTTGTGTGTGCTTGTAGTTGAGCTGCTGCCTGCTGCACTACATTACCCACAATGCAGCTGTGCAGGTGGCGGTTTCACCTGTTTGTCCAGGTAGAGGAGGAAGGAGCGAGCGCACAGAGAGCAGCAGAGCACAGCAGAGCAGACTCATGGAGCCAGAGGATCCTCAGGACGACTCCTTCGACTTCCTCTTCAAGATCATCCTCATCGGGGACTCCAACGTGGGCAAGACCAGCCTGGTGCAGAGCTTCAAGAGCGGCCTGTTCTCCGAGGCGCAGCAGAACACCATCGGCGTGGACTTCACCGTGCGCACGCTCCACATCGACGGCCGCAGAGTGAAGGTCAGAGGTCACCGCCGTTTAAAACCAAGCGCTCAGTGTGATTCTGACACCCAACCGGTTCAAGCAGCAGAACCGGATCAGCAGGTCTGTCCTCTATAGACACTCAAACAGGAAGTGCTGATCCAGATAAACACACGCTGCTTCCTGCTTCACAGATAAACATGCGCTTTGTGTTTGTGTGAGAGATGAATCTACATGAAGCTGACGTGTAACAAGAGCAACGTCTGACAAACGCAATTTAACAGAGTTCTTCACTTGCTATACTATATTTACAATACTAAAATACATTTCATATATATATATATATATATATATATATATATGTTCAGTAAGCAGTATGTTGTACTAAGTAGCAGACAGTATGCAGTGCACACTATTCAGCAGGCAGTGTGTAGAATACATTGTTCAATATGCAGTATGTAGTAGTGTTAAATAGTCAGTGTACAGCGGATGTAGTGTACTGCTCTCATGCCTATGTAGTGTTCAGTAGTGTATATTAGTCATTGTATATACTCAGCAGTAGGCAGAATGAAGTGTACAATGTTCAGTGTACACTGAGCACGAGTCAGTACGCAGTATTCAACATACAACAAGCAGAAGGCAGTATGTATGTATGCAGTGTTTAATAAACAGTTTACGGGGTTCAACAGACTGTATACAGTGTACAGTATGCACTATTTAGTACACAGTATGCAGTGCAGGGTTCAGTATGCAGTATTTAGTATGCAGTGTACACTGTTCAATAGGCAGTGAACAGTGTTCAGTATACAGTATTTAGTATAGTGTTCAATAGGCAGTATGCAGTGTACAGTATGCACTATTTAGTACACAGTATGCAGTGCAGGGTTCAGTATGCAGTATTTAGTAGGCAGTGAACAGTGTTCAGTATGCAGTATTTAGTATAGTGTTCAATAGACTGTACAGTATGCATTATTTAGTACACAGTATGCAGTGCAGGGTTCAGTATGCAGTATTTAGTATGCAATGTACACTGTTCAATAGGCAGTGAACAGTGTTCAGTATGCACTATTTAGTACACAGTATGCAGTGCAGGGTTCAGTATGCAGTATTTAGTATACAGTATTCAATAGGCAGTATGCAATGTACATCGTCATAGTTGGGTAAACTTCTATAGCAGTGAATGGGAGAGTACCACAAATATATTTTTGTGCATTCCCATTTGCTCAAATAGCATAAGAAAAACTCCACGATAGTGTTTTCACGACTTTCAAAACAAAGAAAAAAAATAGAGAGACTGATAATGGCAGTCAGAAGAGAGAACGATGTCAAATTTACCATCACTCCCATAGATGCTGTATTAGAAGCACCCTCACAGCAGCATTAACTATTTTTTTGTAATTTGATGCAAATATAGGCTAATATAAAACAAAGTATAGTGTTATAAATGTACTTACTAAAAAGAAATATAGGAAACTTCGGCGGATTTACAGAGCTGATGACCATTGAAACACGTCATCAGTCTTGTGGAAAGGGTCCATATGTGGTGTTTAGTATGCAGAATTAAATGTAGTGTTCAGTATGCAGTGTAGTGTTCAATAGGCAGTATGCAGTGTTTAGTATGCAGTGTACAGTATTCAGTATGTTTAGTACGCAATATGCAGTGTACAGAGTTCAGTAGATAGTATGCAGTGTGCTTGTTATACTCTGCGGTTGGCTTGTCAGTATTGCAATATTGTGGTTATCATGACAGCCTTATTTATTATGCAGTATGCAGTGTACAGTATGCAGTTTAGTATACAGTATGAAACGTAGTGTTCAATAGGCAGTATGCAGTGTTTAGTACCCAATATGCAGTGTTTAGTACACAGTGTGCAGTTTAGTATGCAGAATTAAATGTAGTGTTCAGTATGCAGTGTAGTGTTCAATAGGCAGTATGCAGTGTTTAGTATGCAGTGTAGGGTCAAGTCTGCATGCAGTATAGTGTTCAGTAGGCAATATGCAGTGTACAGTATGCAGTTTAGTACGCAATATGCAGTGTACAGAGTTCAGTAGGTAGTATGCAGTGCGCTTGTCATACTCTGCAGTTGGCTTGTCAGTATTGCAATATTGTGGTTATCATGACAGCCTTATTTATTATGCAGTATGCAGTGTTTAGTATACATTATGAAACGTAGTGTTCAATAGGCAGTATGCAGTGTTTAGTATGCAGTGTAGGGTCAAGTCTGCATGCAGTATAGTGTTCAGTAGGCAATATGCAGTGTACAGTATTCAGTTTAGTACGCAATATGCAGTGTACAGAGTTCAGTAGGTAGTATGCAGTTGGCTTGTCAGTATTGCAATATTGTGGTTATCATGACAGCCTTATTTATTATGCAGTATGCAGTGTTTAGTATACATTATGAAACGTAGTGTTCAATAGGCAGTATGCAGTGTTTAGTACACAGTGTGCAGTTTAGTACGCAGTATGAAATGTAGTGTTCGGTAGGCAGTATGCAGTATTTAGTATGCAGTGTAGTGTTCAGTAGGCAGAATGTTTAGTACACAGTGTGTAGTGTTCAGTGTTGAATATGCAGTCAGCCATTGCCAAAGGCAATAGAAGGCAAGCCAACAACCTTCAGCCAAAAAAGCGCAACGGCTAAAGCTAACATGTCCAGTTTTGGAAATGAGACCAGAGGCCGTTTTCTTTGAATGGATGTCAATGGAGGAGAGGCTTCACTACGCTGAATAAACAGCTTTTCAGAGGAAACAGCGTATCATTTAATGAATCGACAGCCTATCTGCTAATCTCCCAAAATGTTTTACACTAAACAATCCTTTTGGATTTAACTATTTTTAGTTTACCACAAAAAAAAAAAAATGCTGTTTTATAAGAGAAGTCACTGACTTTTTGCGACAGGTAAGATTCAGTTTACAGCACTCTCATTAATTCCTATAGGATCCATGAACAGCGACGAGTGTGAGTGTCGCACAACTCTAACTGAAATTCAGTGACGTCAAGGCTGTAATGTGATTGGTTATTAAGGCACACGTGATCCGAGTTAGCCGTTACACTTTCTCCAATAGTAAGTAATACAGACCCCCTCATCTCCCTACAGTAAGACAATCTCTGGCCGTTGCTGCTCTTACTGGTGCGAGTGCTGTTGAGCACACAGGTGTGTTTCTGTGATCTCCAGTGATCAGTGTGTGTGTGTGTGTGCAGATGCAGGTGTGGGACACGGCGGGACAGGAGCGCTTCCGCACCATCACGCAGAGCTACTACCGCAGCGCTCACGGGGCCATGATCGCCTACGACATCAGCCGCAGGGACACCTTCGACTCCGCGCTCCGCTGGCTCCACGAGCTGCAGCGCTTTGGGGCCGCCAACGTGCTCACCGCGCTCATAGGTGACCATCTCTGAAACACTGCCAGTACCTTTACATGGACAACAATATTCCCATTAAGACAATACTCTGATTAAGACAATATTCCCATTAAGACAATACTCTGATTAAGACAATATTCCCATTAAGACAATACTCCGATTAAGACAATACTCTGATTAAGACAATACTCTGATTAAGAATCTATCAAGTAAACAGAGGTTTCTGATTACTTAATCCGGCTAAAGTCATACTCGAAGTAAACACAGATCGAACTAAGACGTGGAGTATTCCTATTTTAGTCGCATTATTGAAGTGCAGTATAGACATGTACACACTTAAATCACATTATTACCGTCGTGTAGGACTTTTCGCCGCATTTTACAACAGGATACACACACGTCGTGTATAACTGTTGATATGTGAAATTCTGGAGGGGGCGTAATGACGTGTGCCATTAATCGATCTATGTACTATAACATGTAAAACGGGAACATGAAAGGAATATTCTAAAAACAGCTGATGTAAACACCTTAATCATGATATTGGCTTATTCAGAATAAGGTAAATAATCAGATTACTGATGTCCATGTAAACATAGTCTGATTATGTTTCTATAGCTCTTCTCTGTCTCCTCAGGTAACAAGCGCGACCTGGAGGCAGAGCGGCAGGTGCCGTTCTCAGACGCCTGTAAGCTAGCGGAGGAGCAGGGCATGCTAGCGGCTCTGGAGACGTCAGCGCGGGAGAAGCGGAGCGTGGAGGAGGCGTTCGTCATGATGGCACGGCAGCTGCTGCAGCAGAACGGCCTGAGCGTCACGCCGGACGCTGACACACACGTGCTGCTGCGCACTAACTCTCGCGCCGTCATCAGCGGGCCGTTGCTAGCAGAGCGCCAGAAGCAGCAGCCCTGCCAGTGCTGAACGCAACACAAGGGGCCGTTCACTACAGTGCGCTGCTTTACATTCTTTCTCTATGAATACATACTATGACTGGTGCATCGCGTCTTGCACATGGGCGTCGCGTTT